TATAACTTTAAATAAATAAATAAATATTCGCTGAATTAAAAACAAACTTTTAAGGTGCCAAACGAGAATAACAAGTTCAAGCACATACCGTTCCTTGAACTTTCCTCTGCTCTTCCTCTGTAAGGAGCACACCCATACCCTCTAGTAACTGCTTATCTAACACATCAATTATGTCTTGCTGATGAACCTTGGAATGTCCTTTCCTCACCTGCAAAATATTATGAAATCAAAACCAAATTCGAGAGAACTTAGGGAACCCATAAAATTGAAAGAGAGATCCTTACAGGCTCGACCTAGCTTTTAAATGCAACCTGAACGTCAGGCAATTCACACAACTAGGTTCCCTTTTGCATTTTTTTTCTTTCTTATTTTGATTTTAACAAAACATGGACATTCCAGGCTACTTTTTCTTTCTTTTCTGCCTTCTTTTTCCTTTCTTTACTTCAAAGTTCAGTAAAGGGCAACTTACAGACATTATTGCTGTTTCATTTACAAGATTTCTGATATCTGCCCCAGAATAACCTACCGTGCGAAAGACAAGCTATAGAGTGGAAAAAAAGGAAACGGCAATTAGCTAAAAATCAAATTAAGTTTTCATCCATACAACAAGTAAACAGATATGGCCAGTCACCCAGCACAAATAGCTCACACAAACAAGCAGATATTCTATCAGAACCCTAAGAAAAACTTGTACATTGGTGCAGACCAATGCATTAGAGAGGCTGAATTCAAGAACAGTGTCATTAAAAAATTCAGCAATGTTAATAACTTTCCCACCATTAATCAGATTGCACTAGTCCAATCATCTAATACCTAAGTTCTTCCCAAGACTAATAAAAAGCAACAATAAAATAACACTATTCATATGACATCTCATCCAGGAATCAGGACTGCACTGTTTAAATCTTAACGAATGTGTGATGTTGAAGTTGTTATTCTTTTTATTAAATCTAAATACTATTGAGAAATGCAGTAAAACACTGATTCTGCAACATATGGCAACTGAATTAAAACAAAACTGTGTCAAGTTACATGTCACTGTCAGCAGGGTAAAATTTAGTGATGAAATTCTAGGCTCAGACCAAATTGCTTTACCTCTGATGCTTTGAAAAGAGGAACAAATGAAGAATTTAAATAATTAATTTCGCCTAAAATAAATACATTTAGAATAACAATTTCAACTGCAATTATTATAAACAATTTGGAGAAAGATATCGTGTACAATGGGACGCAATAAAATTGGCAATCTGCAAAGTAAATTGATTTTAAAAAATCTACTAGATCTTAAGAAAGGTAAAACTATTCTCCAATATCTAATCTACTTTAAGAAAAAAAGAAGAAGAAATATATCCAATATAATGTTATTACAATGTTCCCTCATTCATCTCTATCAAATACATAATAAATTGTGAATTATTATTATCAAGTGTAGTCAAATCTTGTGAACTAAAAATATTAATATGTATCAGAAGATTCATGCAGCTCCAAAAATAAACTTGATAATCATCCTTGATATGTCATAAGAATGTAAAATAGTTGGTAGATTGCAAACTTCCAAGTAATATAAGCAATGCATTTACTAGGCGAGGGATCTGGAATCAGTGCCTCCATATAAGCCTCTGTTAATTCTTCTTTCTCTTTTTCCAGTTGCGGAGCTCCAACAGCAACATATAATCTTTGAGAAGAAAATATTGCAACAAAAATATA